TTATGGTAGCGAATTCAAGCGATTTTATTTATTGTTTCTTCGAGCAATTAGGCAGCGCTGCGCATGCAAGGGGTACGAAAACGAGAGTGCGAGTATTACAGACCGAAAATCATAACGCAACGACAAAGATGCAGACGAGAGTACAAGAGAGAGCAATCTGCAGCTGATCCGCTACTACTGGCCAACTACTGGACATAAATTTATGTGCTGCTGGCGGCTGCGAGACCTGACAAGTTGAAAACAAATAATTGTTGTTGTTGATAAAACCAACAGTCCGCATATGCTTTTTAAGAGCATTTAATTTTGAGTTAATGCAAGTTAATCATTTAAAAGAGCAGCATTCACCGATCAGATAAAACTAGAAAATGCAGAAGTATTTCAAACAGCACTGACAGGAGAACATCCGTTTACAAAACTTCATTTGACTAATGGATATAATCAGTTATTGTTAGATGAGAAATCTCAATTGCTGTGCACAATTAGGATTATTGAAAGTTAAAAGATTACCATTTGGAATTAAATCATCGACAGCTATTTTTTAGAAAATCATGGAAAGCTTATTTCAGGGAATTAAGAATTTTATTATATGTATTACGATGACATAACCACTAAAGATAGGATTCACTATAGATAAACATGGATTGAGCAAAAATAATGATAGAATATCAAGTGCGTTATCAGAAAAAATCCAAATAATGTTTCAGAATTAAGAGCATTTAAAGGTATGGTAAATTACTATTCCGATTTTAGATACAAAACTTTCTACAATAATGAATCCGTTATATGAATTGTTACGGAAAGACACAAAATTTGTGTGGAATTCAAATTGTCAGAATTCTTATGAGCGTATTTAAAGAGAATTCACATCAGATCAGTTGTTACTTCTTTATCACCCAAAGTTACCAATAGTATTAACAACAGATGCCAGCAGCAGTAAGGTTTCAGGCATATTATCACATGGGATCAACAAAAAACTAAAACCTATTGCGTATGTTTAAAAATAATTATAGTACGTTAGAGATAGAAACGTTAGCTATATTATTGTGTGTTACAAAGCAGACAGTATTTACTGGGCAATTAATTGAATGAATAAAAAAAATTGTACGATTTAAAAATTAATGTCAAACAAATTTTCAGCTTATAGAAGCAAGTCAAAGGAATTAACATATATGTATATAATATGACTTATTCTATGGGGTAATCGTGTAGTTATTCCTACCAAACTCAGAACTCAGAAACTTTGTTAAAAAAATAATAGAATCTATTAATGCAAGTTTAGAACAAGACAAAAAATGTGAATTTAACATTATTTTAAACAGATTTTTAATTGATTATAGGACTATACATTGCACGACAGGAGAATCAAAAGGGATTTTTTTTTTTGGGTAGATCATTAAAAACTAGGTTTACAATTTTAAATCCACCAATGTCTGCACAAATATTAAATTAGCAAGATAGAAGTATTATAATCTGATATACTTATATATATCTTACAAATTAAATAATAATGGGATAATAAGAAACAGAACTTTTTCAAAGGGTCAGAAAGTAATGGTTAGAGATTACAAAAATCCTAATAAGCCAAGTTGTACTCAAGCACCTATAACTAAGCAATTTCTTGCATATTGCATATTCTTGTGTTTTTGCTCACAATAATCGTGAAATTAAACGTCATTTAGATCAAATATGGAAAACAATGATGAATTCATTTAGTCCAAATATGCAAATGAAAATATTGATGTTGAAGAAAATGTTACTGAAAATGAAATCAAGACGAGATCAAGCAACTAGCATCTCCAATTAGAAAGGATTTGAGACCACTTGAAGGAGGAAGAGTTTTCAATAAGAATAAAGTGGACATGACTAGCATGATACAGCGTGCAGATTTATTAATATAAATACACTACATCTTCACTTCTACCGCGTATGATTATTGATATGTCAAAAACATTTACACTCTAAGGAGTTTTGAATAGTAGATTTTGTATATTTTGATTTGTTTTTATAGTATACCCTTTTACTCTACGAGTAACGGGTATAGATTCGTTGAAAAGTATGTAACAGGTAGAAGGATGCGTTTTCGACTATATAAAGTATATGTACATATTTTTGATCAGGATCATAGATACAGCGCAAGTGTATTGTTCCGCCGCCCACACTTCTGAAAAATGTTTTGTTATACATGGCGTTTTGTTGCCATGTCTGGCAAGCGCCAGACATATAAATAACTTCACAACCAATTTAGTGTATGTATGTATGTATAGCCAAAGTGCTACAATGTGTTTCAAATATTATTTATGCATAAGACTGGATACAGTTTGTACTCGATATGTGCACATTCTACACGCAGCATAGTGGCTTACGGCGTGATTCTTGCACTTCTGGCTTGGTCAGCAAGTACCGATTATGCGCAATCGGCTAGCGGAGTGTATTTCGAAAAGTTAGTTCATTTTGATATCTATTATAGTAAGCTTGGTAAACGCCGAGGATTGTCGTTGAAGATTGCTTCTTCTTCACTACTCCACAAGGGGTTAATTGGATCATCCCTCAGCATACCATTACTATACAACTTTTTGGAACTGGGATTAATCTCCACGCAATAAATCTATTCTACAACTGCACAAATAACGCATAAGTTGCATTCACGACACTTTTCGAGAAAAAGTTCACCTTGGCAGGCAATAGTCGTTGGTTTTTCTTACAAGACGCAATGTGATGATTCGACGTTCGCAATGATCGACTGAGCGATGTCTTAAATACGCATGCTCTTTGGAGAAAGAGCTGTAACTTCGTGCAGGAGTTCATGGAATACCTGTATGGCGTAGAAAGTTTTCCGGTAAAGCATGAAGCATACAGTGGCTCACAGCTTATTTCAACCACCGTCGATCTGAAACTTCAACGGTCTGTAAAAGCTGAACTAAAAATTGTATCAAAAAAATTTAAACGCAACATTTTTCTTGTATGTTTCAAGATATTATTTACTAACTTATTTTATTTTTAATAATTTCTGTAGTATTTTTTTAAGAATTAATAATGAAAATGTACCTCAAATCAATGCAAAAGCTTATTTCAACCAATTTGTAAAATTAGTATTTTTTCCTAAAAAAATTTTGTGTGACCTCCCTTGTTGTTAACAACCATTTTAAGGCCTTTTCGGCTCGAATCCACTAATTTTTGGGTGAGCTCTGGGGTTATTTTAGCCCACTCCTCTACCAAAGCGAGATCTTGTATTAAAACGTTTTAAAAATGTACATTCGCGGGGGAAAATTGCAGAAATGGTTTCGCTGAGTGATTCTACAGTCCAAAGCATCATTTATCGTTTTGTCCGAGAAAATAGAGTGCAGGACAAGGGAAGGAATGCTCCCAACAAAATTTTTAATCAAACGGAGCATGATTTAAATGGTAGAATTGCACGGAAGAAAACATTTATAAGTGCTAAAAAAATTAAGGCCCGTTTTAACTTAGCTAAAGAGCATTTAAACAAGGAATCCGCTATTTGTAACACTGTTATATTTGCTGATGAGTCCAAGTTCAATATTTTTGGCTCAGATGGAGCATCATATATGTGGCGAAATCCAAATACAGAGCTGCAAGCCAAACATTTAAAAGCCACAGTCAAGCACGGCGGGGGCAGCGTCATCGCTTGGCCCTGTATGTCGGCAGCTGGAGTTGGGATGCTCGAATTTATAGATTCAACGATGAATAAAATGCGTTACCTCGATATTTTGAAGTTAAATTTATTGTATAGTGCGGAAGAACTGAGCATACGGGACAATTTTCGCATTTATCAAGACAATGACCCAAAACATAGGTCGGGCATTGTGCAAAACAGGCTAGTGTGGAATTGTCCCCATGTAATGAAACCCACAGAACAGTATAAAAATCCGGAAACCCCAAATTTCCAATAAATCTGACCTAAAGTAGCCCAAAAATTAGTGGATTCGAGCCGAAAAGACATAAATGGTCCAACAAGGGAGGTCACACAAAATTTTTAAAAATTTTTTATAGTTATGCTTAAGAAAAAATGCTTAGGAAAAAATACCAATTTTACAAACTGGTTGAAATAAGCTGTTGCTTTGATTTGAGGTACATTTTCATTATTAATTCTTAAAATAATACTACAAAAATTATTAAAAATAAAATAAGTTAGTAAATAATATCTTGAAACATACAAGAAATATGTTGCGTTTAAATTTTTTTGATACAATTTTTAGTTCAGCTTTTACAGACCGATGAAGTTTCAGATCGACGGTGGTTGAAATAAGCTGTGAGCCACTGTACATCGGCGAATCTCAAATACAAAGAACGAAGGTTTATGACATGTGTGGCGTTCACTCAGTGTATGCTTCGGTTTAACATTAGTTGCTTTTGGTATTTACGGTCAACCGCACTCCATAACTATGCAGTGGACAAAAACTATGTATGACAGGCATGCATGAAGACGATTTTGAGAGCTCTGGATCTTTCGAAGCACCAATAAATGTTGAGCACTTTAAGCTTACATACAAAAGTGGGGGCTATTTCAATCTGCTGATTGGTCTTAAGAATTGCACTCTTGGACTAAAAAATATTATCTTATCTGAAAATAAGGTACACTACACTTTAGGACCCAATAGCCGAAAACAAAAAAGATCATCTACGAGCAAGAACTCAAAAATACCATGTGTTTAATATATGTTTTTGTTAGGAGGGCACTAATAAGTAGATTCTGCAAAAAAAAAGAAGTTTAGACCCAGGCTGACGAGGATCTACGAGTAATGCTGCTTTGAAAGAATATGGATAGCAAGGCACATTTCCTTATGCCCTCATGCCCTACTGCCATCTTGCCATTGAAATGAGACGACAGCTGGATGACTATATGGGTCGTAAAATGCATACTGCAGAATAACCGTTGAAAGTTCTAGAAACCAACGATTGGTATTCACAAATCCCGCTACGCAAATGCGTGAGATCTATGCCATGCAATGGATGATGTACAGCTTGTAACCGTTAAATTTCAGACACTGGACTAAGTCCCATTGGCATGCAGGTCGAAAGACTGCTTACTTGAAGTTTAGGCACGTGAAAGAAATGTAACCTTTAATTTTTCTGATCGGACAAGAGTAGTGAGCAGATTGAATGTAAATGTTAAAAAAAATCTAGAATACTAACGTGAAATATTGTATTAAAAAAAAATTAAACTCGCACATGAGAAACCAACCTTCAAATTCTATATTTTACTTTAGTTTTTTTTACTTTACTTTTCTACATAGAATCTACAACGCATAAGCACATGTGTTTATGAATTTGTAAAATAAAACATATATTGGAACTTGCATATTAAGGCCGTTACATACTTTTATGTAACAATTTTATATTATTTTATTGAATACTACTCAGCAGGTAGCGAGCAACATTGTAATTGTGATTTGCGCAATCCCAGATTTTTTTTCTGTCCTCACGCCTTTTTGCTTAGAAATGGAAAGCAGCTTAAAATTGTTAATTCATATTTCCGACAGTTCAAGCTTTTTTCCGTAATATATTTATAAAAAAGTAAACCAATTACTTTCAGTTTTTTACGTTAAAAATTGTTAGAATTAATTATACATAAATATATTTTAAGTAAAACTGCGGTTTTATGTTTTAATATTTTTACAAATATACTTTTTTATATAACACGAAGTGAGTATAGTTTTTTAAATAATGTTACATGAAGAAACACGATTCTCCAATTTATTGCAAAATGAGATGTCATTCCGTGTACATACTATTATTTGAATGCTTCTTAATACACAATCAATCTTTATAGCTAAAGGAAAGTATTATTACGAATTGTATACCTATGATTTTCCTGTTGGAGGACAGACAAACATTGATCTAATACTATTATAAGCTAACACAATTAGTATTTGCTGCTTTCATCACATGCAGCAAAAATTGAAATAGCTCTTCCATCTACTTAACAAAACTATTATCTACGGTTTTTATACAATAAATATGTTTTCATTGATAAAGGAAGTTGAAGCTGTTGAATGCGTTCCTCCAAGTTTGTGCGACCAATTTTTTGACGAATTGTTCTTCGGCAAAGATCCATTAGAGGCAAAGGTTCAGCTTAAAAGATACAAGTAAAAATTGTTTTGTTTTTTGTAATATAATATAATTTTTAATAAATGCTGTACAAACTCTAAATGCTTAAATGTACCTTTTACAATGATCTTATATACAGAAATTATTTAAAAACAAGATAGAATGCTATAGTCGAGTTCCTCGACTATCAGATATCCGTTATTCAGAGATAGTGGAAGTAGTGCAAACGAGAAATTTCTAAATTTTTTGGAATATCGAAATTAGGAGAAAAAATTATTAAAGGAAAAAAAGTCAGGTTTCACATTTTTCAAAAATGTGGCATGACAGTTTTGTACGGTTTGTTAGCGTTAGAGTGGGCGTGGCAACATTTGGAAACAAACTTGCGCTGCGTCTATGTCTCTGGAAGCTGCATGCTTATCTGGCCATTCTAGCTTTTGTAGTTTCTGAGATCGAGGCGTTCATACGGACATGGCCAGATTGACTCGGCTATTGATCCTGATCAAGAATATATATACTTTATATGGTCGGAAACGTTTCCTTCTGCCTGTTACATACTTTTCAACGAATCTAGTATACCTTTTTAATCTACGAGTATATATATTATAATATATACTTTATATGGTCGGAAACGCTTTCTTCTGCCTGTTACATACTTACATAGATGTTATGTTACTTGTTACATACAACGAATCTAGTATACCCTTTTAATCAACAAGTAACGGGTATACAAAAAATATATATAACACCGGCTATAAATACGACAACGCTATCAGTCCTAAGTGCTTAAGAAACCCACCCTGCATATAGCAAATGTAACCATCCATAACAAAAGGAATATTACTATACCCGCTCAACAAAAAATTGATAAAAATATTATCAACTGCGCAGGCAAACAATGATTTTAAATGGTGGGGAGACCGAGAGAAATACATGGTGACTATCCTGACGACTGTTACATGCCTATTATATAATTCTGCGAGAATTTTAGGCTGCTTATAGGTGGGGGTACCTTACAGTTCACATCATTTTTATTCGGTGCCATAGCCAGCCATACAGAATATACATATAAGTCGAATCTTGAAGATATTCATGTTTCTCATGGACTTGAAGTCAGTATTAAATCGACATAGCCTATTCCTCAAGCTCAGCATGATTGAATTTTCGTAAAGCAACATACTTATGGAATTATGCAAAAATTCCTCTTTAGAAGTCGCCCGACGGAAAGCGAAGACTGACAGCTGGATGGAGGGAACCTGGAGGAAACCGCTTTGAAGTAACACTTACCAAAAATTTGAAATTTGATAGGAATAAACAAATCAGGATCAAAAGCACGTTAAAGTTGGTTATGCGGCACAGGTAAGTGGATATGAACGAAACCAAGCCGCAGAACTTTTTAAATCTATATCGAAAATTTATTTCGACTTCCACTGAACGCAAAACCTTACACAATCCATACGGGATACTTTAACAACCTCCGAAAGCACTTTTGATATATATATATATATATTATATTATATAAATGCCGGCGGGTTGAGTCTCAAAGCATTACACAGAGGGAAGCGCTAGCAAATAAAGATTAATTTTTCTAAAACCAGAGCTGGAAGATAAGAGACCTCTGTATAGGTTCCTTCAGTATACTCTCAGAACTACTTCACCGAACTTATGAACATACTCTATATTCATTATCTTCAAAACACTCACAGAAATGTTGTCTTTAAACGCGATTACGTATAGGAACATAGCATTCGGATCTGTTCCTACTATTCTGCTACTGCACAGCAAAGACTTGCCCAGACCAGCGCAGTTACATTAGGATATGTTTTTAATCTTATAATCGATTAAATTACAGACTGAACACCCCTAAACGGCAACCTTTCCACACCATATACAATGTTCGGTATTTAAAGACTACATATACAGTAGAATCCGGTTATAACGACTACAATAATTTATAGTAATTATTTAAAATAAATAAAAAAAAAGGAAAAATACAAGAAATCGCAAAAATGTTTACAGCGTGCGTGTACAGACCTCATGCCTATATTCCATGAGATGTCCCGTTATATTTCTAGTTTTTTCTGCTCTTTTCCAAGAAATCTTAATACGTAAATTCGCCAAATCTTAGTTAATGCACTATATGCATCTGATAAGCTCATTCAGTTTAAGCTCGACACTTGTGCATTAGGCCCACAAAATGTCTTTAAACCGAAAGTGCTTCTTCGTCGAAGAAAAAATGCAAATTATTCGGCGCTTGGAAGCCGGTGAGCCTATGAAAAACCCATGTTATTAAATTCAATTTATTACATTTTTTGTTTGATTAAAAAATTAATTTGTTTTTTTTTTTTAAAACATATTACCACCTTCCGGGTATAACGACGTAAAATCGTCGGTCCCTTGAAAGTCTCTATAACCGGATTCTACGTTAAAAACCCTATTAGACCATAATCCATAGAATCCTTTAGAGATTGCGTTTTCTCCATACGATATTTGGGACCCGAAATAAGCATAGTACGATTTTATAACAGAAAAAAATATGATAGGTTTACCCTCATAAAATTTGAAAATTTTAAATATATATACATATACATACATGTATATAAATATATGTATATATATAAATATAAATATATATAAATACTTATATATATAGTATATATATATATATATATATATATATATATATATATATCTATATATCTATATCTATATCTATCTATCTATCTCTATATATATATCTCTCTCTCTCTCTCTCTATCCGTCTCTCTCTCTCTCTCTCTCTCTCTCTCTCTCTCTCTCTCTCTCTCTCTCTCTCTCTCTCTCTCTCTCTCTCGTCTCTCTCTCTCTCTCTCTCTCTGTCCTCTCTCTCTCTCTCCGTCTCTCTCTCTCTCTCTCTCTCTCTCTCTCTCTAAGTATATATATATATATATATATATAAGTATATATATATATATATATATAAGTATATATATATATATATATATAAGTATATATATATATATATATATAAGTATATATATATATATATATAAGTATATATATATATATATATAAGTATATATATATATATATATATAAGTATATATATATAAGTATATATATACAGTTGCGGACACATTAATAGCACCATAAGCACATTTCGTGTTTGTCCCAGCGTTTCTGAATTTTCTGACACTTTTTCAACAATTTACTCACTAAACTTAAATACTACAATGATTTTCAATCGAAATAACAAAATTAGTAACAGATCTAATGGATATTTTTAAAATAATTGGCAAAACAAAAAAAAACCTTCAAATTTAGGCGATAACAAAAATAGCACTTTTTTTCGTAGTTTGCTAAAACTAAGCAAAAAAAATAAAAAAGAATTCAACAAATGGATTAATCTTAAGAACTATATTTAAAGAATCTTAATATTTGGTTGCGTGACCTTTGTTGGCGATGACAGCTGCGCATCGTCCTGGCATGGAGTCCACCAAGTCCTGGCACCGTTTTTGAGGAATTTTGCTCCATGCATCCTTGACCACACCCCAAAGTTCCTCGTTATTATTGGGTTTGGCTTTAGAAACCTTTTTTTTCACGTCCGCCCAAAGGTTTTCGATAGGATTCAAGTCGGGTGACTGAGCAGGCCATTTCATTACTCTGATCGATTTCTGCTCAAACCACTTTCGAGCTTTCTTGCTCGTGTGTTTTGGGTCGTTACCTTATTGAAATGTCCAAACCAACGGCATTTCATCCTCGGCATACGGCAGCATCACATTTTCCAGGATATCTGTGTAAATATGCTGATCCATGATGCTTTGAATCCAATGGATCGGACCTACTCCATAGTATGAAAAGCACGCCCATACCATTATGTTTGATCCCCCGTTCTTTACCGTCTTAGAGGTGAAGCGAGGATTATATTCAGGTCGTGGTGGACGCCGAACATAAGACCGAGAGCCTTTTCCACCAAACAACACAATTTTGCTCTTATCTGACCACCAAATTTTGCGCCACTTCTCCACAGACCAATCCTTGTGTATCTTGGCATATTCCATTCGCTTTGCCACATGCTTCACAGTCAAAAGCGGGACTTTTCTGGGACTCCACGCATTAAAGTTGTTTTGTCTTAAGCGATTGCATACTGTTTTCACGCTTTCATCTATCTGAAGCTCCTTCTTCAGTTCCGTCGCCGGCTTAAAAGGCTCCTTCTTGCTTTGCCGAACCAAGCGCTTTATCTCCACGTTGGACATTGAGGGCTTTCTTCCACGTGTTTCGTTCTTTTCGACAAACAGCAGTGCGTTGCGGATCATTTTGTTTGAACAACCGAAAATTCGACCAATTTTAGCGTAGGTTTTACCTTCAGAGACCATGTTTTTAATCAAATTTCTTTATTCGACGGTACAATGCTTTCCGCGATCCATGACTAGAGAATTTTTGGTCTTCGTTTGGAAAAAATTCAATTAAAACCTTTAATGCAACTCCTTTTTTCAAAATTTGTCGAAAAAAAACCCAAAGCAATCACTCCTATTAATTTTATTCAGCAAATACGTGGTCAGTGCTAGTTTTGTTACCGCCTCATTTCGGGCGCTTTTGCAGAAAGTGCCCAAAAACAAAAAGAACCGTAACATTGAGAGATTAAAAATTTCTTGCTCAGAGAGACAACATAAGGTACTTATTATTCATGCAATCTGACTTTAAAAAAAATAAACATTCAATCATTTTTTTTAGGAAATAAACTTTCCACCTGCAGTGGTGCTATTTTTTTAGCCGCAGCTGTATATATATATATAAGTATTTATGTATAAGTATATATATATATAAGTATTTATGTATAAGTATATATATAAGTATATACATAGGTGGTCAAAAGTATTTACACAACGTGCTTTTTTTTCAATTGTCAACTTTGACCGCTTATTGCTGCTGCATTTGTACTCAGAAACGAACATAGCGGTATTTGTCGTGCTTCTACATCTATACAGAAGCAAACGAAAGATGAAGTGGAAAAAATAACTGTTCATGGGCTAAAAATGGAAGCATTGAACTGATGCTTGTCTGTTGTCAGAAGTATTTACACACAATTTTTACACGTCAAAATTATTTACACACAACTTTTTTAATTGATTTTTTTCGTTTTTTGTTGAATTTAAACGAAATATTTTATATTATTTTAATATGTGATTATGTTAAGCCCACTAATATCTAGTTACTCCGCCTTTGGCATCAATGACTGCTTGGAGCCTTGCTGGTATTGACCGGACCAAGTTGTGCGCAAACTCAAGAGGTAATTTTGACCAAATATCCGTAATTTCGGCTATAGTTTCATCGCGCTGACGATCTCTTTCAAATGTATATATATATATATATATAATCAACTCATATCAACTTTTTTCGTATAGTTCACGAACTGACTGACAGATGTCATGGTCAGATCGATTCGGCTAGTGACCCTGATTAAGACCGTGATTATTTCCTCCACCCTTCACATATTTAATAATTTGTTCACACAAGTAACTGAATTCTCTGTTCTCTAAGAATGCAGTTATATTCTTTAAGAGTTCCAACAATTTTTAAACTCTTCATTGATATTAAGAACCAGGTCCAAGGGGCGTGGAAAACACTGTTCTGCCGAGAGGCGGGAACTCATTCAAAAACTGATTTCTACTGGAAAGACTTATGTTGAAGTGCAAAATATTATCGGGTGCTCTTCTACTATGATCAGAAATGCTATCCAAATGAACCAGCAAATGAAATGCGTTGTCGGCCCACGTTTTTGACCAAAACTTAAAAAACTTAAAACTGTAATCCTAATGTTAGTTTGGAAACAATAAGAAGACGGCTCAGAGATGAAAACCTAATTTCAAGTCAAAAAAAAAAATATATGCCTTTACTATTAAAAAAACATGCATCCAAACGTTGGAAGTTTGCAAGAGACTACTTTGGAATTGGCCTTTGGAGAAGTGAAGGAATTTTTGGTGGTCGGATGTGTCCAAGATAGTAAACTCGCCAATGAGTGGTTCGCAGCCAAACAAGTCGATATCATGAGAATTGAGAATTTTTGGAGTGACGTAAAGAGAGTAGTCTCAGAAATTAAACCGAGCAATAGCTTTGAACTCTAGGAAGCTGTACAAAGGTCTTGGAACTATATTCCTGTGAAGAGCTCCAGAACTGCAAACGAAGGGTATTCAACAAAATACTAAAATAAACTTTAAATATAAGGCTATTACATAAATTTAATCCTTTAAACTTAAAATATTTTATTTGGCTGTGATGCTTTTTGCTAAAATACACTACTATTATTTTGACCGATCAAATTTAGGTCCATCTTCACATTTTCATTTCTTTTTGAAAAGTCTTATCCAAAGTCAATTTTTATTATTATCACCTACTATAAGTTAAATTTCATAGAAAATTAAAAAAAAAAATTTGTTAATACGTTGTGATAGGTGTTTTTTTTTTTTTGGCTTCTTTAAAAACCTCTGTGGGCACTACTATTACACTAGTATATACTTTATAGTATACCTTCCACATACTTTTCATTAAATATAGTATATTTATAATTAATTAAAGGTACTCACGATCTAATCCACCAATATAACGCATTGTTATTTCACAGTGTCCCCAAACCGCTGAAACAACTGGATATAGTTTTTTTCCTCGCAGTCCTCTAAACGCAATACCGAGATACTGCTGATCAACAATGAAGCTCAGTGTTCCTTCGTCCATATCTAGCGCTACTAAGAACTTATCTGGAACTAAGAAAGCTTCGTCGTTTTTAAGAATGGCTGGGTATGTGACTCCAGCGCAGTTTTTTGAGTCATGGTATAATTTATTTCTTCCTAAGTCCCAGCCCCAACTTTGTTCAGTTGATCCGACTAAACTTTGGTATCCAACTGAATGCAATGGTGCATCCGCAGTGCATACGCCAACAACAGCGTGTGTTCCTCTTTGTCTTGTTGGCCAATAAATTTCCCAAATATGCAATCCTTTTGTAAGTCCGATTTTTCCGCGGATACAATCAGTACTTTGAGCCACTGGGTGCCTATGAAATGTCAACTTATCGTCCTCTTTTACAAAAATGTTTAAAGACCGATCTTCGGAGTTCCATGAATGCTTCAATTGAAGATCCCGAGATGCTGGCGGCATATCAAGTAAAATATCGATTCGCGCTGGTTTAACGAAATCAGCTTGTAACTCTCTTGGTATTATTGGTTTGAATGTAGACTGTGAATCATTACGACTAACTGTTTTGACTCCGCCACTAATTTTTTGACCCATGTTCATGCCACGGCAGCTTCTGGATCTTCTTTGGTCGATTGCAATTTTATAGGATAGTCGAAGACGTTCAAACTCCCTCGGCTCCAATCTTGACAAAACAACTCTCGGGGATAGTGTGGATATAGATGAAACACTTTGAGGACGACGCCTTTCACTGGACCTAATAGAAGGTGTCCGACCACCCTTATACCTTAAAAGAAATAAAATTAACGATTTTGTGTTACCTTGAAAAGAAACACGTTATGTATACACATAAAAGAGCATACATACGTACATATATAAACATATAAATTTACATATACATACATACATAGACATGTATATGCATATGTGCATTCGCAGTTGAAGACACTTCTACATTCCATGTACTTTACATTACCTTTAAACAATAATACAAACTTGGTTAATATTTTAAAACATTTTGAACATATTTACATATTGTAAACTTTTAGCAAAACACATAAGAAATATATTCAATATTTATTACTTAAATTGGCCATAACAAAATTTACCTTTTTTTACCAAATTCCATTTATAAAGCAGTATATAAAATGTTGTACAAAATGGCGTCACCGAATGAAGTTAATTTCTTTTCTCACTTAGTTGGGAAATTGTAATGTTCATTATGCACAAAAGTATGTAGAAATGTATGTTTAAAATATAATCCAAACAAACTATTTTCAACTTAAATAAAATAAATCTGCTATTCGGGATAACACACGAGTTGTCCGATCACGATTATAGGCTTACAAGCAGTACTACAAAAACGAGCCAACAAAACAGGGTGTTTAGGGCATGAATCATAAAATATTTCTTTTGGGCGAAATACACGGTACAATCTTTTTTTAATACTAAAATTGTTAATAGGCAATTTTTGTTTTCGTAAATAAGGAAAATCATTATCGAAGTAAGTGATTATCTCAAGTTGTTTAATTAATACTACAATTTCACAGACCGCTAGATACTATACCAAAAAAAGTCTTACGTCAACATTACAATTGCATGTATGATAAGCAGATTGATGTTGCAAAGAGGCCTATATCTCGGGATTTAACATAAAGATAATAAATTATATTTTTTAATATAAATTAATTATAATAATATACAATAAAGTTTGCATTTACTGGGCATTAAAGTGAAAACCAAATTAAAAAGAGATATAAACTGAATGTGAAATATTTCATCCCATAATTCATAAACCTTTCGATATAAATTACCAAAGAACTAAATTTATTGTTTCTTCACAATTGCGGCACCGCAATTTGTAGCCGATAGAAACAGGACTTCCGAAGTTCATTTAAATTTTACACGCACCAATAGCAAGCAATCGTGAAAAAATGAACAGTGTAAACTGATCCAAGTAATATTAATCCAGTTAAAATTGTTGTAGGACTTTCTATAAAACTTAAAAGTGCTTTACAGCATTCTATCAGACAGAAATGAAATCAATTGTGCTCAATAGTGTATGTACTCTTTGCTTATCGCAGTCTCACATTTATCAAATATTTCTGGGGAATGTGTTATATCTAATATCGGAATGACAGAGAGGTTGGATTTATTCATTTATCTACGCTAATCTGCTCATCTGGCAATTTTTTCAATTTTAAACTTAAGCATTTTATTCACGTAAAAGAAAACGAATTCACCTAATTTTGTTTTTAAACAAAAATAAACAAAAATACTGGAGAAAAATGAAATGGCGAAAATTAAGACAATGAGTGAGATTGTTTGAAAAATGGAATTTTCCCATTTTTTTTATACATGAAGTAGGAAACTAAATTTGTAAAACGTAACGTAAACGTAAACATATATATACATTTAATATTATAATTATCTTTCTTTATCAATACACCTATATACATATTTTACTAGAATTATTTTTTTTAAGATATAAAAGCATTTGCCTGTCTTTAGAAACCTCACGCCACATGGTACCCGGAATCGATTTTGGGGATTACCAAACATATTTAAGCTTTTTGGTTGATTCGAACATCCGGAGGTAATTAATTTTCGATTTAACAACGTGTTATTGTCCTTGTCCTTGTGCACACCAAATCATCACATTTGTCAAGATCAAGCAACTGTGTGTGCTACATTACTTACAGGGTTATGAGAATTTTTTAACTAGGTTACCGTCAAGAACATTGAATGTTATGAACTCTCATATATGAACATACAAGCCATTCCAGTGAAAAGTAAAATTATTCTTTCATAATTCTTTTTCGAATGGAACTAATTCCACTAGTGGGAATTTTGGTATTTCTTTTTGGTGGTCATGAACATATGTAGAATATTTATTATTGCCATCATTCTAGAAAAATTACAGTAAAATGCATCTGGAAGCATTCCCTGACGGGGGGCATTCCGAAAAAAGTATTTAAAAATGTATCTATTAAAATGCTGCTGTGAATGTTATTCAGGAATGTTTCTGGATGCATTCCAACAGAAACTGTACTTCCAATTAAACACTAATAGGAAGAATGAAAAACCAGGAAGTAATTCCAAAAAATAAAAATATAACCATGATAGATTTGTAATTAATTCATTTTATATTGTGTTTAACTAAAATATTTATAAGTATGTATACATTTTAGTTCCAGTTGCCATGGTTTTTTTTTTTTTTTTTGAATTGGCAAGACAAAAACTGCAAGAGATAGATAAAATATAATTTTATTAGGCCCAATTTATAACTAAATTTAAAATTCAAACTTTGAAATATGATTATGTAAATACGTGTTTCTTTTTATTCATTTAGTTGAACTAAAAAGGGGAAACCGGAAAATAATAAATAATAATAAATGAATAATAATCGAACGTATGAAAAAAAAAAGAAGAACGCGTAATTTAGTTGTCTCGAAACAGGTTCAAATATTTTTAATAAATAGTTACTTTGAAAATACAAGCCCTGGATTGAAAGCAGCCACCAAACATATAAGACACAAGGAACGATTTAAAATTGCAAATGCAAGTCAAAAAATCGCAGTAAAAAACAAAAATACCACGATTTTTTCAGTTTCTTTTTGTTTTCCCTTTTTTTTTTTGCAATGCGTTTAATAAGTTCTGACTCGGAGAAAAAATAAACGAATTTATAATCAAAAGCGAGCGCTACCAGATATGCGTCCAGTGTGCGTGTTAGGAAGATATTTAAAAATTTTGTTTGCGTATCGATAGAAATCCCAGTTTTTATAGGGATATACGAAATTGCAAAACAGATAGACTGTTTGTGTTGCCTTACTGTTTTGTTTACACAGACAGAGATCCTAAGCCCCGAAGTTTTCAGAATGGACGGTTTCTTGACATATCGTTCGTATGTATAAATATATATTTTTTAATGTTTTATTTATTTTCGTCCGTCTACCTTTGTTAAATAAAAATTGCTTCAATAAGTTTTTCAAAAGTACAGGTTCTTCGATGAAAAGTAAACAGTAAAAGTAAAGAAAACAGGCGTTTCAACCCGACCATAACTGCCACGCCCTCACTTTTGAAAAAATGTTTTGATATTTATTCTTTTTTTTTAAGCTTGTAAACTTCAATTGATTTGCCGAAAAACTTTTAGCCATGCCCACTCTAACGCCCACAAACCGCCCAAACTGTAGCGCCCATTTGAAATTTTTTTATTTTTTTAGCTGAGTTACAAGTATCTGATATTTATCTACAATACGTAAGATATACGCCTCATTTAATTTAGCGTTGTTCTTATTCGCCAGATACCGGCGTGATACTTTGCTGAGTGCACGTGGAAGCCTTGTCCAAGCCGCTTCAAGTTATCGATCTTGCCGCCAGAAACTTTACAGTTTCCCATATGTGAAAGGCGTCGATTCTAATGCCTCTCAAGCTATCGAATTGGATGCAAGTCGACTCCCAACAGAATACACACAAGCTGTACACACAAGCTGTACACACAAGCTTCTAAAGTCTACGACAGAAATTTTGCAGTCCGGGCCTGTAATCCCCCAAGGCTATTGGCTCAACTATATATTTCCTTTACACAGCCGAAATCCCAACAAATATACGCCTAATAATATCCACTTATGTCAACGCTCAAGGTATCCGATCCGAGTTACAGATCAACTAGCTTTACAGCTCAAAGACTTCGATAAAGTGGCTCTCTGACTGGCGTATAAAAGTAAACCATAAAAAATGAAACCACGCTAAAAATTGCCCATCACTGGGGCACCGTGGTACGTTCGGAACGTTCGTGGTACGGAAACTAAAAGCCAGCAGTCTACACTGGCTCATTAACGCCTTCTCTACGTTTAGCCAGGACCACAAGGCCCTACTTTACAATTCTGTACTGAAAGAAATTTGGACATACGTCTCACAGCTATGGGGGAATTGCAGTAACAGCAACATTGACATCATACAGCGAACACCTTGAGAAATATCACTGGGGTACCGTGGTATTTTCGGAATGAAATTATTACACCAGACATAAATATAATCTCGGAACTCTAAGAAAATTACCACGAGAGGTCTAGCGTAGCTCAACAGTTGATCCCGTCTCCGCAGAAAGGACCTACCAACCCAGCTAAGAAATTTGTAGGGACGTTTATCTGGCACTACTATTATTTTAAATGGGTCAAACTAGTGAATCCTTGCAATTGCGAAAAAGAATGTAAAACAAGAAGAGAACCGAACAAATCCTTACATTCTTAGAGAATTACAGTTACTTGTGTAAAAAAATTATTAAAATATGTGAAGGAATAGAGGAAATAATGAGAAATAACGGCACTACTATTATTTCGAACGCAACTGTGTATAACAAAAAAAAAAACAATGCTTAAAGGTAAGCATACGACCTAGTTCGAGACAAGCTCTTACTGCTAATAGTGATTACATTACGTCCGGATTACATTATAGATCGACTGATCAAAAAAGTTTGGAGAACATCAGTAAACAAGGAGAGTTTGGCTATGCGCTTGCTCTTCGCAACATACGAGAACAGACAGGTACTACGCAGACCTGTAATCTCGATGTCCAGTATAACGATCCTATGCATGTAAGGGATATAGCCGACAAACTTTCAAACTAAATCAAGCTGAACTGCGCAAATCACCCAAAAGACGGAACCGTAGCAAGCGTAAAGGAGTTAAGCTATGGGTTGTATACATACAAGCAGCTTCTACCGTGCACAGTCACACCAGCCACAATTTTGAATTCGAATTCGAAGAGTTTCGAAACAGCCATAAAAACACGTCTTGCTTTGTCTACCAAAACTCTCAAAATCAAGGGTGCAAAGTTCCGAAATTTTCCCTATGAAGGAAAGCAACTAATTGTTCGCAATAATCGCTTGTGCTTTAAGCACCTAAAAACACATGGTAGAAGATTAAGTTACAGCCATAAACGGTGTGTTCTTTAAAGCATACGAGGCACTATGGATCCATTATGCATGCTAGTCCACTAACGGAGAGAAATTCCGTTCGTTTCAATATTCCAGTCTCTGGGGCAGATGCCGCAATTAACTTGGGTTTGTTCAAACGAATTGTCAACCAGGATCACCAGGATTTCACCTACATTTAAATAGAATTCCTTTAAAATCTTATTGGAATGCTAAAACAATGCTCTTGATTGGAACGAATAACTGGAAGCTAGTCGTACCTCGAAAACTACGAGAAGGAAAGCGGAACGATCCAATCGATTCGAAGTTCACACTTGGCTGGGGACTACAAGGCTCCGACTGCGCCAAAACCGCATGCACCAGTTGCAATGCATCTGGAATGAAATTGATAAAGCCATATAGAAGACCTCTAACGTCGACTCCAATTCTCCAAAAACGTTTCGGTTCATCAATGGTAAAAAAGTCTTAGCATACTAGATGCCACCTGCACAATGGTCGAGTGGCACTATCATGTTGGGTTTCTTTGGCGCGATACTAGCCCTCAGACTTAAGACTTAACTGTCTAAAAACAAAAAAAACGATAACCGGATTTTTACGATAAGATTGAGCTACATATTAACAACTTGCTATGCATTCGAGTTGTCCAGTGAACAAAATGAGCGATATTTGGTACTTACCAATATACCAATTACCAATACCCACAACCCAAATAAGCCGGACAAGGTATGGCTTGTATGGGAAGCATCAGCTAATTCTCATGGAAAGTCTGTCAACAATTTCGTCACTGGTCCTGATCTATTGAAACCGCTCACAGACGGTTTAATGGCTTTTCGGGTTGTCGAAATTGGTGCTTGCGGATACATTGCTGAAATGATTCCATCAAATTAGAATATTGAAAGCAGAGTCGCACGCTCATCGTTTTATTTGGTTCAACAAGGAAACACAAGCTTCAAGAATATTTGTGATGAAAGCAATGACCTTTGGAATATCCTGTGCTCCATGCTTTGCACACTATGTTCGAGATAAGAATGCGGAGAAACACAAACTAGAAAGTCTACGGGCATTCAAAGCAATTACAAAAGCACACTATTCCACCTTAAAAGTCCGAGAGTCTCGAAGTCTTAAAACATTTACAAGTTTGTTCGGCGGATTCGCAATCCCCAAAGGAGCTCGGAGATACAGAGAAAGTTCATGTTTAAATATTTTTTCAGATTTGCGCGAATGAAAAGAAACAACAACCAAAGGACCGGGTCCGCCCAATGGACGCACCGTTTCTATATTAATATTGTGTATATCGATCACACATCCCGGTGACTCATTCGTGACTACGACAATGGAGGGCCACCTGGACATATTTAGAAGCACCGGTTAATAGGACATTAAATAAAGTATTTTATTTGTGAACCACCGTAAATATGATTAGGTGACTATAAATTCAAAAAGCGCTGATAGAAGCTTGGTAATTTAATGGTCGGCTTGTCGGCTAATAATATCGCCCACCGGTTTTCTAAAACGTAACTTCAAGATTTCTATAATTTCTAAACAGAAAATGTGTATTTTTTTTCTGCTTTTATTTTTAATCGCCCTAAAGATTCTGATTCCAACTTTATCCTTTTAGACCAATAAATTACAGATATATGAAAATTCTATTTTTTGACTTCTTTGCAATTAAAAAATGTGAACTTTTATTTTTTATAGAAGTACCCCTTATCTTTTTTAAAGAACTTATTTTAGATTTCTTTCAGTTTTATGCGTTGTCCTGCTTTTTATGCAGATGCGACAGAATTCACATTTTTCACATTTTGCGAAGAAACTATTTCGATTATGGATCTACATCTAGCCAATAGTGCTTTCAATGGGTCTGACGCGAATTCAATGGTTGTAATATGACTTTTCCAAATGCGCGGCAGAAATAGGCTAGTCTTCAAATTTTTAAATTGAAAAAAAGACATTTTTGCGAGTTGCATGTTCCTAAATCAACACGGTATTTTTTATGAGCTTACGAACTCAAGTGACTGATTGAATTTATCAAAATGGAAAAAATACCTTTACAATTTTCTTGTGTCAACACAAAGCATAAAAAGCTTTAAAAATTATGGAAAATACAAAACGACAAATTGGTAAGTGATAAGTGATAAAATGGAAAAAGTTAAAACATTTTTAAAAAGTGCCTGCGTTGCAGTTTTGTGGTTTGTTGGCGTTATAGTGGGCGTGACAAAGTTCCGAAAAAAAACCGGCGCTGCTTACTAAATGCTGCTTTCTTTATCTTAACCTTCTAGTTTCTTTAATTCCAGAGATCTTGACGTTCATAAACGCGGAGAGACGGACATGTCCAGATCGACTCAGCTTGTGACCGTTATCAAGAATGCAGGGACTGAAACGGGTCCTTCTACCTGTTACATATTTTTCAACGAATCTTCTTGCACTTTTGAATAAAGGGTATAACTCTAAGGAACGCTGTGGGAGAGTTTCAGGAATATATGTATTTATATATGTAAGTTTGAGTGTATATGAAGTAACTACAAACCTACATATGTATGTATATGCAAGTAGGAAAGCGGCTTACGCCGCCTTTTTAGCCATGCCGGTAACTTTTAAAGGAAAATTAATTATATAGTCTTGCGTTAAATATAATTTTTATACTAAAACCAAAATGTATTAATTTAACTTTACTTTTAAAGTTATTATCAAATAACTGAAAAGTTATAACTGACGCACATTGCAAGATCGACTGTCTAGTTATCCTGATCAATAATATACATACATACATACATATGTAGTTGCACACAATCTTAAAGAAGATTTGTTGATAACTGTAAGGTTGTCAAATATCTCCGCCTTTTTGTCTTGAATTTCGCGGCTATGTACAAGGCGCTACAGAGCTCGTATCTGGCAATACTATACATCATTTGAAAGGCCTTGACATAACCTACAAAACGACGCATGATTAGTTTGGATATTGCGTTCAACAGTTATAGACGTGTAAACATGGAGTTCACTAACGCCGAAATTCGCGATATTTTAAAGTTTTCCTTCGTTAAAGGCAAATCCGCTAGAGAAACGTTCCGTGAGATTAATGCTGTTTTTGGGGATGGTACTCTATCACTTCGAACCGCGGAGGAATGGTTTCGACGATTCAGAGCCGGTGAAAACGACACCACGGATAAGCCAGCCGGCGGAAGACCTGTGACGACAAATACCGATCAAATCAAATAAGGAGGGGGGCTTCTACGAGGGAGGTATTAGAAGTTGCCGTCTAGATGGAAACAGATTATCGAACAAAACGGCGCATATTTGAACTAAATCCGATCACTGTAACACTTTTTATAAAGCATTGAATAAAGAGCAAAAAAGCGAAGAAAAAAGGGAGATATTTGACGACCTATTATATAATAGGGAAGACTGTGGTTCCGGCTGCACAAAGTACATGCATATGTACGTATATATGTATCTACATACATACATATATCTCTTTATGAGTGTATTCGTACATCAATACAACAAGCACCTAGAGATATGGGAGTCACTCCAATTTAATATTCTTACACTTATACAAATTAAAAATAAAGCAGATTGAATATAATAAAATACTTATGTACAGACATGTTTTTACTGGATGTAAAATAATAATTTTATCTCATTTATCGACATTTTAGTTGATTAACGTTTATAAATATGTACATTACATATTTACAATAAACTTAATCTCGACGCTTAAACTTGTTTTAAATTCATTTAACAGTTCCTAAAAACTTACATTACTTTTCTCTTGTTGATTTTCTATGATTAAAATAAAACAACACATAAAGCAAAATATCACTCAGGAACCTTTGATGCACAAAACATTCATATGTATGTCCGCATATATGTACACGTTCATCAGCAGTCTTGCGACATGTAACGATTTTTGTCTTGTATAAATTGTGCAGGTCGTATCCAAGCGGTGTTTGGGAATTTTCAAATTAATAAATAAGGGCTCATTATAGAAAATTGGACATAAAATTAATTTTCCAAGGGAGACGATTTTGTAAATACTTTTTCTAAGTAAAGCCTTGAACGTTTCAAGCCTTTGACATTTATCTATCTATTCTTTTATTATTATCTATTTTTAGTTAAGAAACTAACTGATATAGTCAACAGGATATAAGACCAATCACTTTAATATTCCATCAAAACAATTATCTGTCTTGCTGTTTTCTATCGGTATGCCAAAAACATACTATTAAACAATGTTGTGATATTTTTTAATTTTATTTTTTGTTTTGCCAAAACTGAAATAAGCTGTATTAGGGGCCTAATGAATGGGAAATCAATTGAATATGTATATTTCTACTACCATTATTTGTGTGGGTGGAACTATCTAACAGATATCGTTGACATTACTTTTCAAATTTATACATAATATATACAAAATTCGTACAGTAACATTCAACCCTAACCCACCTACACTCGCTGCTAATATTTGAAATTTCCAAATATTGCTCGTTTATAAGCAAACCATATCGGTCGAAATGCCATAACTCATGTTAAGGCAATGTAAAAGCCTTGCGACGCTATCTGGTACTTCTTGTTAGGGTAATATAATTTTGTTAATCATTTAACAAGCTTCGAAGAGTATCATGAATAATTTAAATGCATTTTACATAAATATATATATAATATGTAAAGATTTGAATACAAATAAATAAATATATATATTTACGAATTCAGACCGAGAGTTTAATAAAAAAAAACACGCGTTTGAGTTTTATATTATTCCATTTAAGGAAAGAACTAGAGGCTTTTTATTATCACTAAGTTGGAAGTTTAAATTGGCTTTAGCTGAGTTATCGCGGTTAATAACGTACTCAGTACTGAACTGCTGCATGGAGACATGCTGCTGTTTTATAGGCAATTTGGGGAAGCCGAAGAGCGAAGTTTAAGAGAGTTGGGTTGTAAACCTTTATTTTCCTGTTGGAAGAGAGTCTTCTGAGAAATAGGGGTAATTGGAGTATCCTGAGGCGTCGATCAGAAAAGTTTATTATTTTAGTTGGCTCGCCAAGTGGTCGAATGCAAATGGTTAGGCGACGAGAGTCTATATTTATAAAGGCGACAAGAGTCTATGTTTATGATTTGCGATCTGTAAGAAAGGGTGGCTTTGGAACATGACGCTGTGTCCAAGGTTAATCGAAGGGCTCTCGTTCTTTGATTACATTTTGTGCTTAGACTTTAATATTTTGTGTTTATACATTAGTTGTGTGTATATGAGTTTATACTGTTGCGGGCTTATGTATGTTGCTTATAATTATCTTATGGGGAGTTGTGGGTCGTTATGGGGAGTTCTCGTCTTATCGTCTTTTCAAGAATTGCCACGACGTTAGCTTCTCCTCGTCGTCGTTAGATTAGCTGGAATAGCCAGCTAAGGCCATTCTACTGTGCATTCGCCTCAAATGCCTCGTCCTTGTCGTCGGTATAAGGCATCCATGGTTTTAGAAATTCAGAGCAAGTGCTCGTCTGCACGTGGGCAGAAACATCATAGGTATCTTTTGATTTAGCATTCACAAAAGCGGTATGGACCAAGATACTTCGGTTTCAGTTTTAAGTCCAGACCAAGCTTTTTACATTGAAGCTGGTCTCTGTTGTCCTGAATCTCGAGAATATGCTGCTTTGCTTGCATTCTAAGTTGATAGCGCTCGTCTTTGAAATTCTGAATCATTTCATCGTCTAGCATGTGATGAATCCTTAAATCGGATTTAAGGTGCATCTTCGTGCCCGTTTATAGCTCAAATTCTGTAGTTTTGGTGCTTCTAACAAACGTTGAGTTGATGACTTGTTGTTCTCTACTGAAAAATGTATACCATTGTCGTGGATTGTCCATTGAAAGTTTTGAAAGGACATCTTGAGATTTCTTGTGTGTTGCTTATCACTTCGCAAGGCGCCCGCTTGACTTTTTGTCGGTTGGCTCGGTCGGTCACTTGTCCTTCCCGTCCAGGACTCTGGAATCCTGTAACTTTGTGCAGGATTGGAGGGAAGATGTCCTCCCCGGGTTCTCTGGACTTCTTGACTACGAGATTGATTTGGACCGCATCTTTCACTTTGGACCGCAATCTTTGCCTTGTCTTCAAACGGTCTTCTCCCGAGTATGACTCCTCCCGGGAGAAGAAAGAACTTCACTCTCTTCTAGTCTCGGTTGGCCGTTTTTATGATGGCTCAGAGCTTTTCCTTGGCTACTCTGGTCATCGGTCTGATAGGCCAAGTGTTCCCACCTAGGAGTCATATCACCCATATACCCTGTTGCTGAACTATGCCCGTTACTGGAGTAGCAATCGATTGCGGCCGTTAGACTGGTATTCCGTATAGCTCAACGAAATGGTTGTACCCCTTCCACTGCTTTAGATTCTGGCTGGTTCATGTGCAAAGTCTTATAAATTCACAAATTGGGCGTACATAACAGTTAATTTGGTCGGATAGAGCCAGAAAAATTTGGTGCAACTGTCGATTATTGATAATATGTGTTTATACTGCTTGTGCGTTGACTCTAGAAATCTAAGAAACCTATATGGTACGTTTGTAGCGTACAGTGTAAGATAGTGTATGGTACATTTGCTAAGTGGATAAAGTTCCCCTTCTTGTTTTCTGAATCTTCTCTTCCAATTTTGGTACGTAGTATCAACATAGCCGCACGCACAACTATTAGTTGTGCAGTCGTTGACTAGTTTGTGCAAAAGACCTTGCTTCATGAAAAAATCGATGTTTTGTCTTATCCGATAGAATATCGATTATTGTTTTCAGCTTGTTTACTTCATTCTACTGTGAAGACTGTTCTCCGTGATCATCATTAGGTAGCTCGACTGAGAGCATCAGCGCAGTGAATACGGGTGCCAGCTCTGAGTTTGGCGTCGTTTTGGAATTCCTGCAGCTGAAGGATCCAACGAGCTATCCGGCTGCCAAGTCCTTCTTGTGGATAGTTTTAGCCAAAGCACTACAGTCTGTAATGAATTTGAGGCGTAAACCAAGTAGGTAGACTCTGAATTTCCTTAAAGCTTCCACTACAGCAAGTATTTCAAGTTCGTAATTTGTAAACTTTCTTTCGGTATCGGATGTCGGTTTTGTTCATGTAATATACGGGATGCAATTGATTATCGTCTGAGAATTTATTTAACAAGATGGCGCCAAAACTATCTATTGAAGCGTTAATTGTAGCTCAGTCTCGTGCTGCTGATTAAAATTTGTAGGTCAGGCTTTTGTGTTATCAGCATCTTAAGATTGTTGAAAACAGCCATCTCCGAATTACCAAATATAATCTTAGCATCTAGTTTTGTCATGTCAGACCAAGGTTTAGTTATTTGTGAAAAGTTCAGAATAGATTTTCGGAATAGAACTAAGACAAGGAAACGTTGTAGCAGCTTCTGATTAGTTGGAACTAAAAATAAAGTCACAGCACGGGTATTTTTTTGAGACTGACTTATTCATTGAAAATCGATTATGTGGCCCAAATACACGATTTTATTTTTCAAGAAAGTACATATTTTGAAGTTAATAAGGTGCCCATACTCTGACCACCTCTTAAGAATTTTTTTTTCTGTTTCTGCAGGTGTTGGTATAGTCACGCTTTTGCGGGCTAAATCTCTGAAGATAGCGTTTACATGACGTTGGAATACGCTTGCCGAATTAGAAAGACCAAAAGACACTCGCACTGATGTATACTTACATCAATGTATATTTACGGCAATGTTCCGCTGGGCCGTGAGTGTATTGGCATATCGTCTTTTAGAATTAAACGCATTTTAATTATTGTTGGGTTTGTGTATACCGGATTGTAGGATTGACAATTTTGCGGACTGTTTCTTTGAGAGCTTTTGTAACTTTTACTTCAGGATTCTACCACGAGAAATTATACATACTTCGGGTATCAACAAGAGCAGTCTACTTTTCATTATATACTTCAACTGTTATGCACATAAAAGAATGAGTTGATGACACCTTACACATGTTGGCTGCTCCCATTCTTTCACAGTGTGTTTTTTTGTACATTCTTTATCGATGTGTCCAAAATTGTTACACTGAAAACATTTTCTACTCTTTAGCACCACATTTCTTATCTCTGTTAACGTTAATGTTCTGCACTGCTTGGTTCTTGGCGTCACTTTTTGGGAATATGTATTTGTTGGGTATCGTTGAGTTTCTATATTCACTTTTGGATTTTCTTCGAATAATGTATTTTTCGTCGATGATTTATTCAATTAGAGAACTATTTTCAATGTTTCCTTTGAAATTTATCTCTTTTATATGCAAACAGCATTCCTGCACACTTTTGCCTTTAGCCATTCTCCCCAACATAAGCTTATCTGAAATTTTCAGTTTTCAGTTTCGATTTTCAGTTTTATACGGGGCCTTGCTACGATCGCTTTACAAAATTCTGTCTTCAAATTCTTTCACCCACAAATTCGAATTGAGTCCTCTATATCCCGTAAGTTTAAAGCAGACTGCCGTATACACTGTTCTGCTGCACTGCTTGCATTTGTTTGATCAACTTTGTCAGTTTTGACGTTTTGCAAACTCATAAAATCTGTCTCGTACTGAGCCTATTTCATTTCATCCCCTTCGCTTTGGTCTTCGCCATTTTTTTAAGTTGCATAATATGTGTTTGGTCAGGTTTTATCAAATCGAAAATTATAGCGAGATCCATATCAGATAAATTGTCTGCGATGTGATGTAATAATATATACCCGTTACTCGTGGAGTAAAAGGGTATACTAGATTCGTTGAAAAGTATGTAACAAAGAGAAGGAAACGTTTCCGACCATATAAAGTATATATTCCGTCTGTCAGTCTGTCTGTCCGTATGAACGCCTCGCTCAGGAACTACAAAAGCTAGAATGTTGAGATTAAGCACGCAGCTTCCGGAGACTTAGAAGCAGC